TAAATTTTTAATTACTTCTAAAGCAATTTATTTTGTCCTTTCTAATCAATATTTATTTGCACATTTGTTCTTAAATTAACATTGATTTCTTCTTTCTAACATCAGATTTGGTCCAAGTTTTTAATAATTTGTCTCTTGACTTATTCCTGTCGCAGTAAGGACTATTGCATTCCTTGATGTATCAAAGCAACCATATTTGTTGACTTCATTTGCCTAACAATACCTTTTTAGTTAAACTTGCATTTATTGATTAAGAGTCATAAACTTAGCTAATTTCCTTTCTATACTGAACTGGATTTGTTTGGATTCAACAAGAATGTTTAGAATTCATTGAATAAGATTCCACTTGAGTTTCAAATAATCGGGGTTGTTAGAATAAAAGGGGTGGGTAGAATTATTTATTTTTTTAATTCTAATAATTTTTAATAATGAAACACTTTAACGTAGAGGGCTTGCAGCCTAAATTAACAGATGGGAGTAAATTTCCTGAATATTTAATAAAAGGGGTGATTGGAATAAGGAATTTCTGGGTGGATTTTCCTCTTTTAAAAAAAATTCTTCCTGCCTCAAAGAATTTTTGCGATATTCTAGTGAAGTTACTTGTTGGAATTTATCCTTATTGAATTGAATATTTTTGACATGTCAAAGATTGAAAGCACCCTGAAATTTAATGATAATGTTATTAATATCTAATTTTTTGGATTTGGTTTCAGATACGAATCTGAAGGCATCTTTAAGAATATTACACGAGTTGAACGGCATGAAGTTGTTTTCCTTTGTCTTAGAATTTAGCCATTATGCAAATGCCTGTTTGTAAGAATTACTACGGATGATGAGATGCCTTTTATTAAGTGTAACCATTTTTGTCTATATCTTTCAGAAGTCCTTAACATGTCAACATTTTTATTTTATACATTTAATTTAATTTTTTTTTTTTTTTTTTTTTTTTTTTTACTTTGACAACACTACATATTAGCCAAGCATTATACAGCCTTTCTCATATATTTCCTGTATAGAAAGACAATCTTTTTTTTCTACAATGTAAAGCAACACTTGAAAAGTAATAGCAAAGAGATGTATTGTGTATTTGAGCAGTAACTTTTCTTTTATACATGTTTCATTGAATGTGACAGACAAGGAAAATTTTAAAAGTTTTTCTAATGTTCTTAGATTTTTCTTTTTGAAAAGAATTAGGAGAGTGAAGGAATTGTTCGTAATGGTTATTGTCCCAATTCATTAGCCAATTTCAAGGGTTCTGTTCTAATATTTTGTGTTATGAAGTGTATTGTATAGAAGTAGTAGAAACCTTTCTCATGTATAGAAAGAGAAAATCTTTTTCTGACAATGTAAAGCAAAACTTGAAATGTGATGGCCAAGAATATATTTGTATTTGGGCAGCAACCTTTCATTTATGCATGTTTCATTGAATATGGCAGACAAGGAAAATCTAATAAGTTTTTTTTTTTTTTTTTTTAAATGTTCTTACAGTTTTCTTTCTGGAAGGATTATGGGAGTCCAGAAACTGTTTGTCCATAATGGTTATTGTCCAAAGTACTTTTTGCCAATTCATTAACCCTTTTCTAGGAGTCTGTTAATGTTTCCCATGTTCTAAGGTGTATTGTCTAGAAGTAGTAGTGGTCTCTTAGAAGATCACCAACACATTTGAACTATTGTTAAATAAAGTAAGGTTGGTGCTTGGCTTGAATTTTTTTTTATTTATAGAGCCTCAATAATTTTTAGTCGCTGTGGACAGACAAATTTCTTTAAAATAATAATGGTATCAATCAGAATTTTTTCTTAGAGGCAGTTTGTGGGTGTCAAGATGTCCTTGGTAGGTTTGTCTGGCTCTCTAGGTTTAGCTAGGTCTGCTCTACTCATTGTATTGAGCACTTTATTTAGTTGTTTTGGATACTTGCATCGGGGTTTTTTTGGGGGGGGGCCTTGAACTCGTATGCTGGATGATTATTTTCGGTTAACGTACATGTTCTTGGTTCTTTCTTTTTTTTATACCTTTTTTTTTTTCCCTTTGGTGGTGGCTTGTTTATTTGCAAATCAATATACTGAAGGTTTTCCGAGCGGGTATAGTTTCTTATACTCATAATATTTCTATTAAATATATATATATATATATATATATATATATATATATATATATCAATAGAAATATAGAATTTTCCACTTAGCTGATTTGTTATATTTAGCACCAATACTCTGGAATTTTGTACATGAACCTTTTGTGTAATTGTTTGATCCACTCATGTCTGCCAATTTTGTTGTTTTCATTATTTTTATATGAAGTTAAAAAAAAATAATTTATGCACTTTTTTATTGGTGTTAGCTTGAATTTTTATTCAATTGTTATTTTTAGTGGGTACCTGTATTGGTCAAAACATTGTATTTGCAAAATCAAAAACATGAAGGGATTAAATTGTTCCAAAAGAATGTTGGAATATAACTTTGTTTTGACCTTATATGCCAAAACACCTGAATTTTGTTTGGCATTTTCACCCCTCTCTCATATATGTATATATATTTTTTTTTATTTGTTTTTTTTTTTCACTTATCTGCAACACTATTGACTTGATCTTTGTGAAAGTTAACATTATGACATTGACATATTTTGTTATAAACATGTAAATAAATAAAAACACATACTACAGACAGATTTAAAAAGAAGACTGAAAATGAGGATTTTAGCCTGTGTTATCAACAAATGTATTTTGCTTCTTCTGTTTTGTTTTAAGTTGGAATCTGTTTCTTCTCTTGCACTTTTCACTTGTGGAACTTTTTTCTGGCTTCTTGCTTTCCAGTCAACTGTGTTCTTCAAAAATTTAAATGCAATATCAATTATCTTTTATCTCAGTACCTGTTCTCTTATAGTTCTCTTTCTTTAATAATTTTTTCTTTTTCTCATATACTCTCATACACTGTAAAGCTTTACACCTTAATCTGCCTATTGGCTTACTTGGGATGAAGCAATTAAAAAAAAAAAAAAAAACTATTTTCTGTCTTATCTTTTATAAATTAACTCTGGACACTGACAATTATTATAATCAGATAATGTTTTATTTATTACCGAATAGTTTCTTTTTAATCTTTCCATTCTTTTGATAGTGTACAGGTAAAACGAGAAGTTTCCATTTCATTTCCTTACCTGTATTTCAATGTAGACCTTTAAAGTCTCTTTAGCTCTATTGCCAATGAATAAGCAAAGTGAAGGATGCCCTACTACCTTCATGCCTAAACAGGCTGGATGAGGTTTATCTAACTGGGTTGTTTTCTTTCTTGATTTATTTGGACAGGTCATCTGGGCAGTTTGTTAATGGAGTGGTTCAACAAGAGAAGCTAGTTGCCAGCAAGAGATGGTGGGTGTTGGAAGGATTCATTAACATTTTCTTGAAACTGTGTTTGTTAATAATGCCATTGTTTACAGTGCCAGAACTTAATAACTAAATTTAATTAAAAAAAACACAGGTTAAATGCCTTAGCTGTTTTTTTTTGTGCACAGATTAAATGTTGGTGGATCTGAGATTCTTCTGCTATTAGGGGCTAATTTTACTATTGATACAAGTATCTGCCTACCTTACTGTGTAAGAATAAATTTTTCTTTATATATTTGATGATAAATAAAAAAAAAAATGTAAAAGTTTTAGAACTTATGTTTGGTGTGTTTTACATTTTTTTTTTTTTTTTTTTTTTTTATTATTATAAAGAAAAAATTAGATTTTCATAAAATATTCAAATACATTCCTCTAATCTGAAATTTCTTAATAGATTAGTCAGAATTGACAGATTGTTGAATGTATTCTCCTCATCTTTAGTTAGTCCTCAAAATAATCACCATTGGCATCTAGAACCTTCTGCTAATCTGCCTGCAGCTACATATTGACCTGGTGTTAAAAATCAGGCATCTTGGATGCAAAGAAATCTGCAAGTGCTTGCCACAAGTCTCTCATTTGTGAAGCATTTTCCACGAAGGTGGTTGTCCAGGGAATGGAAGAGATGGTAATCTATTGGTCCAAGGTCCAGGAAATAAGTTGGATATCAGTAGCTCCCAGCCAAGTTGCCGTATAATTTCCTTGGCCACTTGTACTACATGAGGCTTTGCTTTGTCACAAAGGAACAGTACACTCTTGAGATTAACCAATATTGACTCCTTCTGCTTCCATGCCTGTTGCACATATTCCAACTGCTGTGACTACAGGTCCGCAGTGATGGTTTTTCCTGTTGATAGCAGCTCATAATGCTCCACTGTACAATAGTCCACCAGATACAGAGCTAGGTATAGAGGAGATTTTGTGGTGTAAGACACAAGGCCCTGTGGTGACAACCAATGTCTGGCATGCTTGGAAGTGTCACACAGGACTCACTTTTCATCACTGATGAGCACTCTATCAAGTATAGGTACATTGGTACAGGTATCTGGCTACCTTAAGAATAAATTTTTCTTATATATATATATTGATGATAGATTAAAAAAAAAAATGTAAAAGTTTGAAGATATGTTTGGTACTTTTACTTTTTTTATAATAAAAATATTAACTTTTCTTAAAACATTCAAATACATTTTTCTAACCTGAAGTTTTTTTTTAGTAGATCAGTTTCAACAAACTGCCAATTCTGACTATGATGCTTCAGCAGTTGTACACTTCGACCTTCAAAAGGTGCTTGTAAATCAGGGTAACCCTCATGGAATTTCAAACTGAAACCTTTAATTTACAGGGCTAGATTGTCCTTGTTCTACTGACCATGTATAAGAATATCTCTTGTTCTTATTTAGTACTGCTCTGTTATTGCATTCTTTGGTTCCACTGATTCTAATTCTGCTCCTACTCATACTTAGGGATTGAACTCACAATTACTATATCATAAACCAATTTCAAACTGAACCCATTATTTAATTTACAGGGCTAGATTGTCCTTGTCCTGCTGACCATATCTATTGATATCACATATGGTTCTTACTTGTAGTACTGTCCAGTTGTTGAGCTTACAGCCATATCACATTGAAACCCATACAGTCACTGAAGTTAAGCAATGTTGAACCTGGTTAGTACCTAGATAGGTGATCTCTTGGGAATACCAGGTGCTGTAAGTTTGAATGTGTAGGTCAGTCAGTTATGTGCCATACATGATACACACTTAGGCAATCATGACTGACAAAGGCGGATTTTTTCCCGCAGTAGGTTGCCATTACTTTCTGTGGTAGACCAGTTGCCATCCAAGGCTACAGAACCCGGTCTGTCCTACTATTTACCCATAACTGGGTGGAGAAGAAGAGGATTCATACCCTTTCCCAAGGGTATTAGCATGTAAGTGAATGTAATGGATTTGACTGGAATTCAAACTCGACTCTCCGATTGGAAATTGGAGAGCTGAGTTCCAATTCCGGTTATGTTATATACACATATGTGCAAATACCCTTTGGAAAGGCATGAATTCCCTGCTTCTCCCCTCCCCAGCTATGGGTTAATTAGTTGGACTTATATAAGTAAATCATTATTATCCACAAAAAATTATTACAATAAAAAAAATGTTTTCTGGCTTTAAATAACCTGCAAAATGTTGATAAGCCATAAAAAAAATCAAATCCCTCAAAATGCTTAGTTATTGCTCACTCTGTCACCACTGTCTAAGTTTGCACTACCCAACACTGGAATTGAACTCACAATTACTATATCACCACATTCATAAATCAACATTTTTTTTTTTTAATCTACTAGACAATAGTGTAAATAACTCTTTACCCCAGAAATTCAGTCAGAAACTGCCATTTGTATCATGTGGTATACACAGGACATTTATTTATTTAAATAATTTGCCATGGCCTTTCTAATAAACAAATATATTATTCTTTTTGTTGGAGTATGTTGCTGTCATGGTGTGGGTTTGCTTATTTATTTAATAAGTACTTATTCATAGCTGACCTTTTTCACCAACTTCATTGCTTTTTCTTGTTTTCAGGAACTATTCGCCGTAAACATTTTTGCCATAGGAAAACTTGCCTTAGGAATTTTTGCTATAGAAAACTTTACCATATTGGATTTTTGCCGTAAGACAATTTCGCTGCACTGCATTTTTTTTTTTTTTTTTTTTTAATATGCAAAGTACCTTTTTATTAAGTATATCTGGCTCACACTATTGTTACTTCTATTTAAACATTTTAATAAGTGAAGTTATAGGATCAAAATCATACATTATTCAGCCTCGTCAGTGAGGAGCATAAAAATTTCAACTTGACACCAGAACCTACGTCATGTAATTTCATATTTCAGACTTGACGTTAAAGTTTCTGTTAACATAATATCAGTCTTCCAATAATTCTTACTCATACAATATATATTATTTCAAACAAACTTACAACTTGAATAAGCCACCAACTTTTTTAAATAAGTGTCTAATTTTTAATTTCTTTTCTGATGTTTAACCCTTTAAAAGAGACATCCATATATACTTGATAACAAGGTACTTTGCATATTAAATTGAATATTACGCCAAAAGGGACATTCAAGATAAGTGTATCAAAAAAAAAAAAAAAAAATGCGGCGAAATTGTCTTACAGCAAAAATCCTATGTGGTGAACTTTCCTGAGGCAAGTTTTCCTACAGCAAAAATGTTTATGGTGAATGTTCCGGATATGGCTTTTATTAATATTATTATTTCAAAGTATGTGTTTGGGGGGTGTTATAATTAGCAGTCTTAACTGGCAAATGTATATATCTATGCATTCGGATATAGATGAGTGCAAATGAGAGATTATGTAATTTTCTCGTTTTTGTGAGCAGAACGAGTCACTTGAAAATTATAAGGCATGTATAAAAAGGTGATGAGAGTGGCCGAGAAGTTCCCTGCCCAACCATGAAGCCCCCCCCCAATAGAATGTCTTATATTTGGTCAGATTTTGAGAAGTAGAACAGACCAAAATCTCATAGACTATGGGCAAATTTAGAGATAGTTTCCAATCAAGTTTGACAATACTGACATAGGTTACCAATTCCTTTTGTTGTTTATGCTATACTTTGAGTTGATAGTGAAATGAAAGCAATATTAAGAATAATAGCAGTATTAGTGGTAGGATTCATAATAGATGCGATTCATAATAGATGCAATTCATAGGAAAATATGTGTGAGTGTTTGGACAATATGGCCTAGCCATTTAATAGAAAAATATATGTTACTTTATACTTAATTTACATATGTGGTAATTTTGAAAATAAATGATTGCATTTAATTTTATATTTGAAAGATTTGTTAATTTAAAATGTTTCTATAATGAGATTTTTGTAACATTTAAGAGAATTGTTTTATATATAATTGTGAGAAAGGAAGTAATACAAGTTATAATTTTCTTCATAGTATTTTAATACATCCATTTTATTGGTGAATATTTTATAAGATTTCTCAAATCTGATCTTGAGGATATTTTTTTTTTTTTTAATCAGTATCACCCCAAGCAAAGCAGTACAGCCACTAAGATACAAAGGGTTACAGGGTGTGGAGAAATTAAGAACAGAAACATTAGTAATGAGTAAAAAGAGAAATGATCAATCAGGAAGACAATAGATAGTGATTGACATTGCATTTAAATTTTTGCAAATTAACGTTGGCTGGAAAGCATGGAGTTGGAAGGGAGTTCCACAGATGGGAAAAGAAACTGTTAGCATAGAAGTTATGACTACAGCTAGCCAGCCTAACTGTAAATTGATGAGATCTCGCTGCCAGTTTGGTATTGTGCTTAAATTCCTACAGTATTGGTACTATAGTGAAGAGCCTATCTGAACAATTACAATGAAAGTATTTATAAAAAAAGGCATAGAGAAGCAGTCTTATGGCAGTGGGTAAATGACTGAAGCTGAGCCGCCAGATCATTTGCATGCAGATAGAATCTACCAAATTGTTTCTGATGAGTCTTATTTGATCCTTTGCTTGAATTGCAAGTTATCTTTTTGCAATTTGCTTGAATGTTATCAATTTTGGTTTTAGTGCATTCTCCCTTTCCATCTGAGGCTTAATGGTCATATCCCATTGAAACATTGACTCATGTACAATCACTGAAGTTAAACAACATTGAGTCTGGTCAGTAGCTAGATAGGTGACCACTTGGGAATACCAGGTGCTGTAAGCTTGGATATATGGCTCCTGTAATGGATAACAGCTCAGAATTGGTAACTGGAGAGTTGAGTTTGAATTTCATTTGGGTTGGTTATATTCACTTACATGCAAATACCCTTGGAAAAGGTATGAATCCCCCTCTTCGCTCTCCTCCCCCAGCTATGGATTAATTAGTCGGACTTTTATTAGTAAATCATTATCTCCAAAAAATTCTTACAATCTAAAAAAAATTTTCTGGCTTTGAATAAACTTGCAAAAGGTTGATAAGCCATAAAAATAATAAATCAATCAAACCTTTCTATTTTTTTTTATAATACTACATAAATTTGAACACTTTAAATGTTAATTTTAGTGGATACCCATATTTGAATAGCCTTTTAAACAGTTTTTCATCTACCAGTTTGAATATTTGAGAAATTTTATTAAAGAATAATGCACCCTCCAGAATGTCTATTCATATATGGGCATCCAGTAAAAATACCATTTAACTTGATAAAAATAAGTTGGATTAATAAATAAAAATCCATTACTTCTTTAGAATACTACATAAGGGAATGATGATTAAATCATTTATTATAATGTATTTTCAACTACAGTGATAAAGTTGAAGTAACTGTTCATCTTTCTTGCTTATTTCTCTTTGTACTCATGTGCTGAAATATTTTTTTAAAATTTAAATCAATTTAAATTTACTTTTATATTGAAGTATGTAAATCAACAACTCATTTTATTGTTTACCATGTCAATCCTTTACAATTAGTCATTGCATAAAGTTTTTTTTTTTTTTTTTTTTTTTTTTTTTTTTTTTTAAGGTCTTTTCTTATTGAATCATACATGATTTTTGCCATCATGCTCCAAAGATCAAACTCTTTGCTATGAGCTGAGTCATATTTTTCTTTTGAGTACTCTATCCCACATGAAGCCTGTTCAGTGAAAGGTTCTATTTTGAAAAGCTAGTTCTATGAATTTTGTTTACATGAGATGTTGTTTCTCTCAATAAACAAAATGTGACTCCCCTTTGCTCGTAAAACATGAAACACAAAATATCTGTATCCTTCTCCAACCATAGTTTGTCTCTGAGGAATCAAAGCCTTTTTTCATCATGACTTTTTTTTCTTCTTTACACCAAATTGCTCTGATTATTTCCTTCTTCTTTGAACAGTCATTGCATGTATTTTGTTTGGGTTTATCCTGGCCTTATCTGACATTATCTGTCTTGAAAGAAACATCAAATACTCCAAATAGGATAATATCCATAATTTACCATTTTATGCAAGTTTTTTTTTTTTTCTTTAATGGTTAGTTGAGCTGAAAATTAACTTTCCATTATAGCTATTTTTTTCTTTTCTAAGTATTCACTTTTATGGATGTTTAAACCATAATTGATGCCCATGGGTGTGGGTTAACCCTTTAAGATGAGAATAAACATAAAAAAATAAGGATGTTTTTCATTAATTTCATCCTTTTATGCTTACTATTCTTTAGAAGGTTCTGCTGAATGTGATATTGACAGTTATTTTAACTTGTCAATTAATGTAATCCTCATGATGTAGAATTATGTATTGTAATTAAGGAATGATTATTAAAAAACAGTGTTGCCTGCCATAGGATCATGTTTTAATATTAGCAATAGATTTTTGTTACTGTTGTTAACATAAGATTTTATCATCTTTAGTCATCCATACTTCAGCTGTCTCATGAGGCGGCTATAAATTTAGGTGGTCTTTCATCACATATTGGTAAAGAAAGCTAAAAGTGTAACATGGCATGTTTTAGTATTAAGTTATGAACACACACACACACACTTGTTTTTTTTTTTTTTTTTTTTTTTTTTAGAAATAAATAAATTTACTTCATTTTGATACCAGTTTCATTATTCTATCTGGTCTACAATTGGTTTCATAGGATTGAAGACCTTGCTTATCAATCAATGCTTTTGTGTGGGTGTGTGTGGCTGAGTGGTTAGAATGTTTGCTTTCCAAC